ATTTGAATTAAGGCCGACCCAAATTATTTAGACTGGCTGAATTGATTCAGATGCCAATCTTCATTGCAGCTGAACTAAGTTCAAAAGGCCAAAAATGCTCATTTCAGTCAAACTGCTTACTAAATAATACGTTATAATAATTGATGCATTAGGTTCAGTACATAAAAAGTTTGGTGTCTGAATCAAAGTCGTTCCAAAGGTGCTCCAAAGGCGAAGTTCCCGGCCGGGCTAGGCAAAAAGAACAGCTGATCCGTTCCAAATTGAAATAGGCCTTCCTAACTGATTCAGACACTGTTTCGAGTGTCTGAACCAGGCCTAACCTAGGAGCTGCTGGTTACTAGTCCAGATGCTCTCACCAGTAAGCTACAGGTTAATGGAGACTCGTGGGACCCAAGACCACTAAAACTACGTTCATGTGACAAATATCCTGCATACTGCTTGGACTAGAATGTCAATATCTGCATATATGCTGTATGTAAAGATAGAAATGTAATGGTGAATTTTTGCCCTGGTGAATATATGAGAAAGATGTGATTGCTAAAACAGTCGCATGTCAAAATCGAGAATGTCTACAGTTTGGTTAATATAGCTCACTGTTTATAAGAAGTAAAAACATGATTTGTCTTTATCAGCCTATATTCACTAAGGGGAAAGTTTGGTGAAGGTGTGAACACTTTATTGAGTTCACCCGTGGTACATTTATAGTCTGTTCATATTTTAAAATTGATTGGTCATATTAATTAATTATATGTTCTATAAGTTATATAGTCAGTAGTATGTTGTCAGACTAGTCAGTAAGTTATAGATTCAGGCCTCCATTTTAAACCACCATAGACTGAATATACCAATTTTTAGAATTCATACCCGCCTCCCAGGTTTGGGGATTAAAACAAAAGAAATCACATGTTAGTTCAGGGATGAAAAATACGTTTCTTTTGTTTTATTCCCCAAGCCATGGAACCAACTATGAATTTTGATGTCTGTCGGACCTGCTCATAGAAATAAATAAATAGGTTAATAGATATGAATAAATATGGTTTCAGCTGACTTTTTAACGTGGAAATGAGGCTCGTTTTATTGATAGTATATTACATGTTTTACTCTCTACTTGTTAACCAAGAGTGAGTTAATTACAGGGAAATGTCGGAGATCAATACATCAAGGCCGAAGTCTGAGATTTCCCTGTAATGGCCGAACAGACGAGGTTAAGAAGTTATTTATTATATGGCCTTTTCATTATGGACCTGAGCCTGTGATCAATTAAAACCAATAACTGGTCAGCAGATAACTTAAAAAAAACACGCCACCTCAATGAATTGTACACTTAAGCATGCGTTACAGTCAGGTGACACTGGTCAGCTGATGCCCTCTTTGACAGCTGTTAACTGACCATAACATGGATATCCGTTATCAAGTTAAACAGATTGTATATGCGTTGGACACTTTGCCAGTAATTCCCGGTCATTATAAGAAAACAGCCAATCAGAGTGCATGTACTATTGTAGCCATAGAACAATCGGCCATAATATTTCTGACATGATTTAATAACTTTAGCAGTTTTAAGCTGCTAAATTAATTAAATTATGTTAGTAATATTATACTGGTCCTCTTGATGCGTCATAAGAAGACAACAGGTGTTGTAATCACTGAAAGCATCTCGGTAATTAACAGTTCAAGCTGTTTGTTATTTCAGGTGTGGTTTTTTTTTCTTTCAAAGAAAGGCTCTCCTGAACTTATTTTCTTTTGCTGACCAAAGTAATAATAAGATTTCTGACATAATTTAATAACTTTAACAGTTTTAACCTGTTAAACTAATTAAATTATGTTAGTTATATTATGCTGGTCCTCTTGCTGCCTCATGAGAAGACAACAGGTGTTGTAATCACTGAAAGCATCTCGTTAATTAACAGTTCAAACTGTTTTTTAACTCAAGTGTAGTTTTTTTCTTTTAAAGAAAGGCTATGCTGAACTTATTTACTTTCGCCTGACCAAGGCAATAATAATATTACTGACATGATTTAATAACTTTAACAGTTTTAAGCTGTTAAACTGATTAAATTATGTTAGTTATATTATGCTGGTCCTCTTGCTGCCTCATGAGAAGACAACAGGTGTTGTAATCACTGAAAGCATCTCGTTAATTAACAGTTCAAACTGTTTTTTAACTCAAGTGTAGTTTTTTTCTTTTAAAGAAAGGCTATGCTGAACTTATTTACTTTCGCCTGACCAAGGCAATAATAATATTACTGACATGATTTAATAATTTTAACAGTTTTAAGCTAATAAAATTATTAAATTATGTTAGTAATTTTATACTGGTCCTCTTGATACCTATCCTGAACTTATTTTCTTTCGCCTGACCAAAGTTTCACTACCAAGCTTTGTTTATAAGCAAAATTCTTTTCATTCCTTTGCGATTCCGAGAGGTTACTTCAACGGACTAAATTTCACTGTAAGGCTGCGTGCAAACGGACTCAACATTGTTGACCAACAATTCCCAACATTGTTGGATGTTACATGTTGAGTCCGTTTGCACACCCTGTTGCATGTTGTTGCGCAAAGTTTGAAACCGGTCAAACTTTTAGCCCCATGCAAACGGACGCAACAACCGCCCGTTTGCACGTAGCCCAAGAGTGCTAATGTGAGTAATTTAATTGTTCATCATTACTAGAATGCAGTCAGCGATGATGATGACCGCCTCTTTTGAAGCTCAGTAGTTCTGTGTCAATCTTGTTGATGGGCCATAATTAGTTTTACTATACTGTGCCCTTCTCGACTCTTAATTTCTTTGCTAACCTAATAATTATACATGTAGTTTTTTTGTCTAAACACCTTGTATTAATTTTTGTACCACTGATGCACTATTTTTTTTAATAGAATGGGGTAAATAGAAATAAAAGTACAAATAGAAATGTTTAACCAGGATGATAACCGGCTAATGTTAGTTCCATATTGTAATTTTGTATGAGTGTTTTCAGTGTACACATGTTCTTCTTTTTTATCAAGTTTCCCACAGACCTTGGACGGATCGCAGTGTAAAAAGCTCCAAGAGATAGTGCTTAACATAATGTCAGGTGATCTACCCACTTACGTGGCATCCTTTGGTAACTCCGATGTGAACAGTGTGGGTGATTGGGTCAAAATTCTTAATTCAAAACCAGCAAATGAGGTAAATAAATGCCGGGTATACTCTTTTTTTTTTATAAGAATGTTGTTTTTTCGGCCGAGGCTGAATATTCTTATTTTTCTGCCGATTTTAGGCTGAAAATATTCTTTGTATTATTCTTAAATTATAGCTTGTGACATTTCCGTTTTAGAATTTATTGGGGTATCAATTACAAGTGTTTGGTATCTAGATCTGTGCTGAATATTGTACATATGTATTACATGTACCGTTCATCGAACTGTCATTAGCGTTGAACATTTTCTGTAGCTAGTCCAGGTTTTTTCGTTTTGTTAGCTAGTTTCGCCGTTCAGAGAAAGGAATAATTTTATACGGTTAAGTTAAAAAACATAAAATTGTATTGTATTTACAGATGTTTCAACACACAAAATTATATCTATCCTTTTCAAAATCTCAGCCTCGGCTTTATTCTTAAAATGTTCTTAAAATTTCGCCAATTTCAGCCTCGATATTCTTATAAAATATATTCTTACAAAAAAAAAAAGTGTATTTGATGCTGAGTGTTATCTTCTCCTGAGTAGATGAGTGAACGACTTTTACAAGATAACTTTACGACTGAAATATTTTTCACCTTACAAGATATATTTTTTAACTGCGGCAGATATATACCAGTCCATAGAATGTTGCACGGCAGTGCGGAAGGTCGCGGGCTCGATTCCCGGAGCCGGACCAATGCTTAGGGTCTTCAATTAACTGAGAAATAAAGGCACTGCCTTTGTCCTGCAAAACGGAAATTAACTGAGAAATGAAGGCAGTAAATAAAGGCACTGCCTTTGTACTGCAAAACGGCAATTAACTGAGAAATGAAGGCAGTAAATAAAGGCACTGCCTTTGTACTGCAAAACGGCTACACCATCGCGTAGCTCTGATCGATTTCCCGTCTGCATTAGCAGACGTGATAAAACATACTGTCTTGCTATGTACAACTGAAACTGCTGTGTTTATTGAAACTTGAATACGTTTTTTGTTTTTTAAAGTATTTGATTGATTTTGCTTCGAATACTCGTTCTTGGGTTTGTGGTCATTTTGTTTAAATTTAGGTTGCTTTTAAAAAATTTCTTTCTTTGATAGGCTGAAGAAGGAAATGGTGGCTGTCGGAATATGATACTTGGACTTCACATTGAAGTTTTGTTCGCTAATTTTGGTTTCTGGCTAACCCTCAACCAAAGGTAATAAATGCTTTTTTCTTTGGTCTTTTGTTTATTGGTGTATATCATTTTTTTTGTCCTTTATTTGGTTTCTGCTTGATAACCTTCCTTTTGGTTTCTTTATGGAAGTTTGAATCGAGTGCAACTTTATGCCATTATACAACATAACAGACGGGCCCATTCGTGGGGCCTAAAGTTAGAAAGATGCAGAGGGCCATTTGATACAGTTGAACTTCTCTACAAACGGCCACCTTGGGGACAGAAAGAAAGTGACCGTTGTAGAGAGGTTTTAAACAAGAGTCAATGTATGATTTTTTTTCCGCCGGACGAAAAACAGTGGCCGTTGTAGAGCGGTAGCCGTTAGCGGAGCTTCGACCGAAGTTATCATCATCATCATCATCGTCATCATATTCATCATCATCTTACGGCTCGTTATTACTTCTTTCAGACAAACCCATTCGCTGTTCTGCCATACACTTACCTTATCCTTTTTCTGTTGTGCTATACTTGCTAAGAGGAATTAATGACAATCTAGGCTATTGTAAAGGGTATTTTTGCTTTACGTGATTTTCAGATTGTCGGAGTTATGTTTAAAATATGACGATCGTAAAGAGTTCCATACCAGGTAAGTGAATAAAGTGTTGTTGTTGTTGAAAGTAGCCAAATTT